CCCTCAGGCCCGACCGCCGGGCAACTGGGCTCTCATGCCCGGCTGTGGCGCCGCCGCCTCGGCCTTGCGCCGCCTGTTGCGGGGCCTCGCCTAGCCCCCGCGCGCCGCCACTGCCCTCCCGGCCTGTCCTGGCGCGAGCCGGCTGGGCCTCGATATAATCGCCGACGCCCCGGGTGACCTGCCCTGCTGCCTCCAGTTTCCTCTCAGGCACCAGGCGGCCCTCGCGCAGCGGGACGAGGAAAAAAAGTGCGCCCGCCCGGCCCACGGGGAAACTCTGGGGCTTTGGGTCGACGAACTGGCGCTCGGCAGGGAAACGAAAAATAACGCACACACCCTGTGCCGGTGCCTCTCACCTCGGCCTCCCCGCCGCCCCCTCCCACCGCTCCCGCCACAGAGGCTGCCGCTCCGGTGCGCGCCGGCGAGGCATTTTCACACCCCGCCACTGCGAGAAGAGGAAGCGCGATGGGGGCGAGATAACCGCGCGGAGGGATCCACGCGTTGAGGCGGACCCCGCTCTCGACCGGACGCTTTAACGCCGCCCCGGGATGCCTCCGCCAGCCTTAAAGGGGGCCCATAAAGCCGCACTGCCAGGGGCTCCCGGCGTCCCAGGCCGGCAGGGAGGGGGCGCGATGGAACCTTAGACTTGCGGGAGGCATGGAGGTCACTCCCAGGAGGCTGTGGAGCAAATGATCTCCCCCACCCAGCCCAGCCCCAGGAACTGCCGGGTAGAGATTGGCCATGGCTTTTGCATTTCTGAACGTGGACGGGCGATGTTGACAGATAGTTTCTTGCATTTGTTTGGGCCTATCTAAGTGGTTTTGATTAAAAACCACAAGCCTGGTCCCAAATCTTGGCGTTATCAAAACGAGTCAAAGTCCTGCCTTTAGCAGTCGAGCAGGCCTTCAGGAAATGAGACGTACATTTACCCTTGACGCACTGCATGCCTGGCTGTGGCTCCCAGGTTAATTGATATTTAATGGAAATCATGCCCATGAATATAGTTTCCATCATTTCGCCCTTGATAGACGTCAGTGTTAGGCTGAGGGCGGGGGCGGCTAGAGAATGTGGGGAAGGGGACATTAGCATTACGGAGGGAGTGAAGGGAGCAGAACTGTTCCTGGTAGGAGGGAGGACTCACGCCAGGGTGGGTGGCACTTCCTAGGGCAGGTCGCGGGGGCTCCCAGGTTTCAACCCTGACGCCCAGCAGACCTGGGCGGGCCGTGGCCCCGGGTGGAGCGCGGGGGGGCGGGGGGGCCAGGCACTCCAGTCCCGGCTGGAGGGCCCAAGCCGGCTTTCGGATCAGGCTGGTTCCAGGCAGCTGCAAGCGGGTCAGGTCCTCTGCTAACGATTTTAGTTCATCAGCCAAGTCTGAAATAACTGCCGAGAGTGGGTACAGGCCTTAAACTTGCTGATTTTCCCAAGAGAAAAGAAAGAAGGCAAGCAGCTGGAGTCGAGCCGGGAAGTCGTGTATTTGGAAAGATGCCCCTTGATGGTGGCAACTCTTCAAAGCTGTGTGGAGTTCCACCAACCGCTTTCCTACACACGTTCATCTTTTTCTTTTCTCCCGTTTGAATGTCCAACAAATAAATTCTCTCTCTCTCTCTCTCTCTCTCTCTCTCTCTCTCTCCCTCCCTCCCTCCCTCTCTCTCTCTCCCCTCTCTCTCTCCTCCCTTTCCCTCTCCCTCCCTCTCTTATTCCCCCTTCCCTGGGTTCTTTAGGTGCTAAACCCGTTTTCCTTTGGGATGGTCCAGTTTGCCGGACACCAGGCCCTTTGGTGTTGAGAACCGACCTCGAAGACCCGCCCCAGCACACGGAAGAGACTCCAGCTTAAACTAAAACATCATGCTGGCGTTCCACACCAAATACAAATGCCTAAGTACCCAGATGGCCTCAAAGATGCTGGCAGGTCAATAATTTCAACTACCTCGCCTATCTTGTGGGTTGGCCCAATCTATGTGAACGCGATCTTGAGGTCAGGCCGGGTAGACTGAATCTCGTTTTTATAAATAAGATCGACATGGAAAGGCAAACTCGGTAATAATGTCTGACTCAGGACTCTTATTTCAATAGGGAATGGCTGGAAGTGGTGAAGGTAAACTGATAATGAGTTGGAGATGATAAAGGCATGCGGTATTGAAATTCATATTAGTAGAGAGTGCAGAAAACCTAGTGGGGTGGTCAAGGGCAATCCATTTTATTTTGTTTTTGCTTTCAATTATCCTTCAAATTAAAAGGGAAACAACTGGTTTTGACAAAGATTTGTAACTCAATCCTGCAAATAAAAGATTGTTATTTTCAATAAAGCCTTGAGCTAACTTTTTAATTGTGCTTTTTTAATTCAACTGTTTGGTGTGGGTGTGTTTGAACTCTTCCTAAATGAATGAGTTTGGGAATGGAATGGAGAAGAAGACAATCAAGATCCCAGATCTCGGTAATACAAGGCACTTTTTAGAACTATTTATATTCTAGGGGCGGGGGTGGGGAGTGGAGGTGTGAATATGATCACAATAATCATTTCTACACATTCAGGCCTAATTTAGAAAACACTACAGCACATTTCCTCATATACAAAATAATGTGGGTTTTTTTCAAGTTTATTTAATCATTCCGTTTCTTATTTGAAAAAAAAGAGCATGATTAACTTCATAAGTATGCTTTTGCACGTTTTTCTGTTTTGAGGGAATTCATTAATTTACTCTAACATTTTGTAGTTCCAGCTGTACAATAGTCCAGATTTTCTGAAATGATGAATGATCCAAAATTTTATGCCTAGGAGACACGACTTGAGGGTTTAATAGTGCATATTGTTTATTTTTGGTTAAATTTATCCTAATTTAAGATTAAAAATAAGATTGTAAATATTTTTAAGCAAAACCTTCCTCTACTGCAACGCTGGTTTAACATCAGAAAGTGGAGCAATAGCTCCCTCTAGTGGCCAAATGCCACGCGAGCCGACTGAGTTTAACTTCCCTTTATTCGCCTCAAACCAATTCTAATCTTACTTCTTTAGCTTGACTTGAGCTTGGACCGCTGACACTAGCAATGCTTCATCTCTTTGACGGTCAGCAAGTCAAGTGCAGCAAACAGGGGCTCCTGAATGCCTAGGATAATCTCATTTGTGCTTTCAAGAGCTTCCAGTAGTGTCTTTGCCAAAAGCTTCTAGTCCCTCTTTTGCCAGACACCGAAGGTCTCCATTCTGTTATCTCCCAGCTGTGCCTTTTAAGCACAATTATAGGACAGGCTAGGTTTAACAAAAATCACAACTTTAAAAATACTAATTGTTGAGACTTTTTTTTCAAAGACACCAGGTACTTCAACAGCTAAGAAGTTATGGAAATTAAATATCATTGGTTTTCTTTAAAAAGCTGTGACTTTCCACATTAAATCATGTGTATTTGCTAATTCAACTTTCTAATTTGAATGTTTTGGGTTCGTTAGTTGGGAATTTGAGGTGGATTAAAGTCAAATTAAAAGCTTTTTGTTTGGCTCTCTGTCTGTTTGGAAAGTCCCTGTTGGGTTTATGTTTGTTTGAATTTCAGTAAATGATATGTTTTTAAAAAAAATTGTAAGTCACAGACTGAACTGAACTAAGCAGTCCACTTGTTTTTTGTTTGTTTTTAAAGCAGACTACCAAATCAGTGTGTTTCTTGCTAAGTTTCTCTCTCTCTCTCTCTCTCTCTCTCTCTCTCTCTCTCTCTCTCTCCCCTCTCTCCTCTCCTCCTCCTCCTTCTTCTTCCTCTCTCTCTCTCTCTCTCTCTCTTTCTCTCTCTCTGGTTTTCAGAAATGCTTTCTTCTAATTCAGGTGTAAGGACTGTATCATCTGTGATAAATGAATAAATTTCCCCATTTTTGACTGGAAAGTTTGACGGACCAATGAAAAGGCATGTAATCATCTTTCCCCAGCCACACCTCTAGGAGATGCTTACTTTAGTAAATGACCCAAAATCAGTAGTCTCCCCATTCTTAAACAACAGGGTGGCCTGGCTATTGTTTTATTTGTATTTTTTTAAGAACCAGCTAGACCATGGCCACAGTCAAAATATTATAAAGAGCCTCTGACCATAGGCTACTTCCTATGTTCACCCAGTTTAAAAAATCAGAAATACATCACCTCTCATTTTGCTTTCCTAGGTGCTCACACCTCACCCGGGGCTTCCAAGCCCCTGTCTTCTTGGTCCAATGCAGTCTTGCTTATATTTTATTGTCCAGATTTTAAGACCCAGTTTTGTCTGCATTTTTCTTTTCCTCCCACAAACATCAAAATGAGATGGTTTCAAAGCTAAGCGCCTGGCCTGTTGTAAACTCATTACCTCCAGACGTCTCGCCGGCTCGATGGCTTTATGACACCTTGGCTCTTCCTGTTTTCAAAGAACTCTAGGTATCAGGCTGGCCTTAGGGGCGGGGGATGCAGCACCTTCTGCCGGATCTGGGCCTTGGCTTTTCCTCCCAGCCCCCATCTGCTTTTTCTTGGCGCCCCCTCTTTCATTAGGATCCTCAAGATCTGTGCCACCGCCACCGCCTTCCGCCCAACTCAGGCTGCCCGGCGACCCCCCCCCCCCGCCTCCTCTAGGGCCTGCTACGCCAGTGATCTGCCTGAGCCCTCACTTACAATGACCTTCATTTTAGCCTCTCAATGCGGCCTCAGAGGGCCAAGCTGGGGGCTAAACATACACAGAAGCTGGTGGAGGGAGGAGTGCCTTGACCATTTAGATCCGCTAAGGTCACTTTGGGGCTCCGCTAGGGAGGAGAGGAAGCTCACAGCCTAACCGGCTAGTACCTCCTTGAGCCAGCCAGCCACACTGGGCTGGGGGAGTTACTCCAAAGGCATAGTTTGCTTAGAGAT